TATATTTCTGCTTGGAGCCAATATTGAAAATTATGTCAGTATTATGAATCCCTATTGGAAAGATGTATTGGCTACATGGGGAATATTCTATAAAACACATAAAACTGATTTTACAGATATTGATCAAATCTTATCCCAACCCCTTTGGTTCAATCACCAATTCCAAAATAGTAATTTCATTATAAGACATTGGCATCTCAAAGGTATTCACTCTATAAGAGACTTGTGTAATGATCAAGGTATTTTGCCATTTAGTGAACTTAAGAAAACTTACAAAATTAAAGGCACAATTCTTGACTATTATCAGGTTCTTTCAAATATACCCAAAAAATGGAAAGAAACTATAAGAAAGAATTTATTGATTGTTCATAATCATTTTCTTAACATATCACTGATAGATTTACTTTCAGCACCAAAGAGATCCAGATATTTCTATGATAAACTTATAACTACTGAAAACCTACCTTCAACATGTAAAAAATGGCAAAATATCTTTGATATTGCAATTCCATGGCAAGATATTTTTAGAAAATATAGATGTACAAAAGATACTAAATTGATTGACTTCCAGTTTAAATTTATCCACAATATTGTCTACACAAAGAAAGAATTATTTAGAATGAAATTAGTAGATGATGAACTTTGCTCATTTTGTAATTTAATGTCAGAAAATTTGATACATGTTTATTGGGAATGTGAGTGTGTGAAAACGTTCTGGCTGAAACTGAAATAATATATTGAAGATAAATCATCAGAAAATTTTACCCTGACAAAATATACAGTCTTAATTGGCGGATATAATAACGACCTTATGAATCACATACTTCTTGCCAGTAAAAAATATATCCATATATCAAGTATTAAAAAAATAAGTTATCACTGGATACATTTGTAAAAATATTGAGTGATATTTTCAAGCCAGAAAAGTTTATTGCCAGTAAGATTCAAAACATTTTAACAGAAAATGGTCATCTCTACTGCACACATTCCCAGCCTAATGAAGATCCCAATATGTGTAATGCCAACCCATATGAATTTCTGTTCTTCGGTGTACAAGTGTTGTTGCATCATGTACTTTGTATACATGTATCTACTGATTTTGAATGAATAAAAAAAATTTAAAAAAGCGTACTGGACATCGTGGAACGACTGACACTGAGTTTAGTTTTTCGCCGCACTCAATATTCCAGTTATATGGCGGCGGTCTGTAAATAATCGAGAGTCTGGACCAGACAATCCAGTGATCAACAGCATTAGCATCGATGTGCGCAATTGGGAACCGATGACATGTGTCAACCAAGTCGGCAAGCCTGACCACCCGATCCCGTTAGTCGCCTCTCACGACAAGCATGGGTTACTGAAGATCAATGCTAACCCGGATCTTCACGGGTATGATCGTTTGAGAAGTCTCGTCATGGGACAGTGCAACACCAAGGCGGCTCTGTGTGTGTTGTGTACGTGCGTGTGTGCGAGAGTGCGTGCGTGCGTGCGTGCGTGCGTGTGTGTCTGGACGATGAGTGTCATCTGATCCCGACTCGATCATTTCCAGAGCACCAAGTGCCATGGCTGCAAATATTGCTAACAGCATTATAAGGCAACCATTGGCTAACCCCAGCAGACAAGGTCACAGATCTTCACGAGATAAGGGAAGACAAACCTGGATTTTGCATAGTTCGGTGTAAAGTGAGTGAGTTAAAATTTAAAGTGACGTCGGCAATATTTCAGCCGTATTGTGACGTTTGCCGGATGATATTTGTGAGTCGAGAAGAAAGTTTTCAAGGGAGATAACCCTAATACTAACTTTACATTACACTGGACATACAAAAGTAATAAAATGCTCTCGTCGCCCTGTAAATATATATTATACACATACTACTCCTTTCCACATTTCCCGGGGCGTTGGGTAGCTTGGTGGTTAAAGCGTTCGCGCGTCACACCGAAGACCCGGGTTCGACTCGCCGCTTGGTTACAATCTGTGAAGCCCACTTCTGGTGTCCTTCATATTGCTGGAATATTGCTAAAGGCGGTGTAAAAATCAACTCACTCACTTGCACATTTTCTTTAGTGGCTCTCAGATAAAGGTTACTACTTATTAAAGTTATTAGGGTATTTTGTTTTCAAATAGATTGTCTTGGTCAAAGTGTGTAGATACGTTAGCTATCAAAGGTAATAAGGCTCTATTTTTCATCAAAAAGTTACTTTTTAAGTGTATACTCTGCAAAAAGAAACGCACAGGTGAAAACTCAGGAATGTAAACACTTTATTTTGTTTCCAAATAAAACTTTAACTAATGATCGCACGAACGTAAAATTTCACATGGATGTTGTCAAGAGTCAGCTTTACAACATGCAGCTATCATTTGTCTCTGAAACCATTGCACCGGGCGTACAGATGGCGTGGAGGTCAGTACCTGTTGTGACCACCTCGAGCTTGCAACACAGCTTGGCACCTCCTGTCCATGGACATGATCAGTCTTTGAATCCGTGCTTGGGGATCCTCCTCCATTCCTCCTGCAAGGCTTGAGACAGTTGTTGCAACGTTTGGGGTTGAGGCTGACGACGTCGAACGCGTTTCCCAAGCTGGTCCCACAAATGCTCTATTGGGTTCAAATCGGGGATTTTGAAGGCCAGGGAAGAACTGTGATGTTCTGATTCGTCAGGTAGTCCATCGTGATGCGAGCCACGTGCGGTCTGGCGTTGTCCTGTTGGAAAACGTGACGTTGAGGGTTGATGACAGGTAAAGATGACGTTGCAGAATTTCATCCCTGTAACGAATTGCAGTCAGGTTACCACGGACGTGCACCAAGTCACTTCTCCCGTTGTAAGAAATGGCCCCCCATACCATCACACTTCCCCCTCCAAATCTGTCCGCTTCAACTACACAATTACGGGCGTAACGTTCGTTTCTCCGTCTATAGACCCTCGTCCTACCATCGTGTCTTTGAAGTTGGAAACGAGATTCGTCGCTGAACCAAATTCGCTGCCAATGTCTCCAATTCCATCTCTGGACGTTCCTGCACCATCGAACACGTGCCAGGCGATGATGAGGTCGTAGTGTGCATCCTACGTGAGGTCGTCGAGGGCGTATCCCGTGCTGTCTGAGGCGATTTCTGATGGTCTGGGCGGAGACGCGGCGAAGACCTGGGACGTTCTCTGCTGTTTGTGTTGCTGGGACGGCCCGGTTACGTAAATGGAACACCCGGATGTAGCGGTCCTGTGCAGCATTGGTTACCCGTGGTCTACCACTCCGAGGTCGGTCGCGGGTCGAGCCCAGTTGATTGTAGCGCCTCCATAAACGGGAAATTGTTGTGTGATGCACGTTGAAGTGTCTTGCAACTGATGACTGAGATTCGCCAGCCTCAAGACGTCCGATGGCGATGTTCCGGTCAGCTTCGCTAAGTCGTGGCATGTTGAATTCGTCAGTAAACTGGCGTTGAAAGTGAATTGAACACGTTAAACTGCCTTCCTCATATACCCTACACACTGGTGCATAGGTGAAGCAACTTTCACGTGCATATCGTTCGAAGTGTCATTTACACGTGAAAATTTCATGATATTTTCAAAACCATCATCAAACAACAATATTTCATGAAATGGTGTGTTTGAGCGATACTTAATGGATATGAACAAGTATACATTATGTTTGGTTAAAGTAACCGGGTTTTGTTTGCATAGAAATAAAATAAAGTTAATTTTAAATTTCATTATCACCTGTGCGTTTCAGAGTATTTTGCAGAGTTATACTTTTTAATTCTTAGAAAACTCACTTCACTAACTGAACAATTATGACTAAATATTTCTTGAAGACTCCAGGAAGTTAATGTTCATGAAATATTAGTCATCACTTTAAAGTAGCAAGCTGCATCATGTTATACATATCTGCAATAACAACCTGGATGGGAAAATCTGAAAAATGACGCTATACAGTTTTTTTCGAGAATTGTTCGTTGGTAATGAAGCAATCATCAATTGTGATATTTCATCCACTTCCCAACACTAGTATGCAGTAAAGATCATGAAATTATTCGAAATGTAGCAAAATATGTTAAACATTGTGTGCCTCTCCGCAATGTATAATCATTGTCACTTTCACTATATCATCATATATTATTGTTGAACGATGTACATGGGCAGATGGCCTAAAAAACGAATAAACGATATATTTCACATTTTTCTGACCACATCACTTGAAGCGTCATAAAATCTCCTCCTTGCCTCGCAAGGTACGGGAGGTGAGGGTACAATGTTGGGTTCCACGAAGCGATCTTAGTTTACGACCACCATAATATTCATACCGTAACAAAGACAGTCGTATGGCTAAAGCCGATTTGTTGAACGTGGTCCAGCTCTACACGTGCGTCTATATTAAAAAAATAACGACTTTCATTATGTAGCCACTTGAAGTCAGCAAAGTTAGAATATAATGCTTGTCACAAATGTTTTCCCATTAACCAGTTACGTATCCCTAAGTGAGGTGTGGCGGGCAGTCTTTAGTTTTGTGCATTTGTGTTGTGCTGCTCTGCATGTGCATTCATAATCGAATATTTTGTTTTCAATACGTAGATGATATTTGACTTTACTTTTCAACAACTGTTTGCTTTTTTCTGATCGAATGAGCTGATTAAATTGATATTTTCATGCACATTCGCTTGGGCCTAGAATAAACATAATATATGACAAGAAAAGACAGATATTTTCTGATTACGTATTTTCAGACTGAACTTACTGATCTAGCGCTGATCTTAATGATCTTGTGAAATGGGCGGAAAGAAAAAAATCACTGATCTTCATTGAGTGGATGATTTGTCGGATACATTATATAAGGACGACTTCTGAGTTCAGTCCAGTCCGACGTCAGCTCATGACCAATCAACAAACTATATACATAAAAAATAAATGCAATTGCCCTCGGGAAACATAAAATGTCGCTTTCAGTTGTGGTATGCAACTTAGGCGATAGCTTTATTACGTCCCTTGATAGTTTCCATTTCCGTACCGTTTCGCCAATCTCCGTACGGTAGAAATGGCGTCGAACAAGAGAAAGCAAGATGAGAAACATCTCAAAATGTTACGGGAGATGGTGGCCCTACCCCACAATAAACAATGTTTTGACTGCCACCAGAGGGGCCCGACATATGTGGACATGACGATAGGATCGTTCGTCTGCACATCGTGCAGCGGAATCCTGTAAGTACCCCCAGGTGCCGGGAATGACACCGACTGTCTCCGGTAATCGATGGCTTGTGTGGCACGATTCCTGCCGAAATGTCGCATTATAATTTACGGTTTCAATGTTTAATTTGAAAGGAATAGTATATATATAGTTTTGTATCCGGCATACACTTTTATTATCAGCTAATTGTTTTACTTTACCTCTTTATGAGTAGAAACCGGCCTTTGAGTGTACACAGTTATAAGTGGTTTCTGCCCGCAGGCGTGTAACTGTCAAACGAGGAAACAGACATATCCCGTTGTTAGACACGCATAGACTGCGACAGAACGATATCTTCAAAATGCAGTAACATGAAGTAGATACAATTTGACTGCAATCTTAGTTACCAATCTGACGTTTGATTTATTCTAATATTACATGATGATTTCAATTCTTTTTAGAGGTCTGCCAACTTACAAAGTTCAGTCTTAGTCATGCATGCACAGTATATTGTGTTATACAACATGAGACTTCATCATGTTCACATGAAATGTTCAATATTTATGCCAATACACCAGACACTACAGTTTACCTGGTGCAGTTCGTAGTGGTAACTGCATGACTACTGTATCTCGCACTGCACACTGATCTTAGTGCCTTTTCCCTGCCTTTTTACCCACATTCAGCCCTCAGCCCATGGATCCCAGGTCCAACTGAATACTCCATTTTGATCAGTTGCCTTAACAAACTTGATTTGGGGTTTTCACACCTATTTGGATGAATTAATCCTGCCTATGAAGTACACAATGCCATTTTAGAAAGTGGTCAAATGTAACATATGTTATATTTGGGATTACACTTTCTTAGTAAAGTACAGATGCTAGTACTTTTTGGGTTGAGTCCCATCCGGGATTTGAACCCGCACCCTCAGAGTCAGGCACCTATTAAATCGTCAGCACACAAAGTCAGATGCCTAGACTATATGCTATATAATCCTGCCTAGTTTGAAGTAAATCCATAATTTTTTATCAAAAGTTGATTATGGTCCTCTTTTGACGATGATCAAGTAGAATTTTGCAGGTTTATTCTTCCTAGTAATGTGTGTGCTGTTCAGTTATAAATAGTGATGACATTAACATGATAAATAACGGTATACTGTAGATTGCTAACATTGCTAACATTGTTAATGAACCTGTACTTGAATATACCCACTGTGTCAGCCATGAACACATAGGTCTTTCTCGGTTGTTTATAAACTATTGCCTTTCATTGCATATTTGTCTTCCATCCCATGTTTGTCCCATTTTGTACTGAAGGTGGGATTGATTAGCGCATAAAAGTCCAAATAGTTTTGTTTAAAATGTCAATCAAGTAACAATAACTTATGAACTTATCATTGAGTCTGCTACTAGCCGGGTTTTGTTATCATTTGCAATTTAGTTGCTGTAACAAGTTGCTGTGATGATCATGGTGCACAATAAAATAACAGTAACTGAATTACAACAAAATTACAGCATAGTATTAATATTAATAATAATAATATTTAAGTGTCTGAGACCCCCATTTTGTTGTCCAGGACCCGTGAAAGTTAAGAGTATGAGTCCCAGGGACCCTCAAATACACGACTCAATGTAAATGCCTGATTCATTTTTGTCTCCTCTGCTAAAACGTTTCATGAAAGCATGTAAAAGATACACCTGCTATAAGATTACCGGTAAGTGAGTTAGAACATGAAATCACTGTCGACAGGACCTTCTGACAACACAAGGTTATGTACCATCTACTTTAGTTTGTGTTCCAAAAGCACCAGTCCTTGTCCCCATGAGATAAGTGGACAGCGAATAATGTATTCATAGAATGGATAGTGTTTGGGATACTAAGATATATCTATTCTTAGTTGTGATGCTAACTTAACCGACATGCTAAGCATAACATTCTGCAAGGTTTAGATTTGATTTCCTGATGTGTGAGTACTTATTGGAACCAGCATGTCTGAAGCTATATAATAAAATTGGGAGAGTTCACCGAGGCATTGTATTTCTACGTTTCTGTGTTTTTAAGGTTACTTCAGTGAATTAAAAAAATGTCTCAAATTTCAAATATTTCAAGGATGACATAATGCAGTAAAGAGATTGTTACACTTATGTGTTATGAAGAAGAAATATGTATTATGCCCACCATGGATTCGTTTTGTGCAGTTTCTTTCACAATTAGCTAGTAATTTCAGTTTTTCAGTTGTACAGTGAATCTAGACAACTTCTTTCAGGATATGTAATAACTTAATAAGAAGGATGATGATGATGATAATGATGATGCCATGTGTGGATGAGATATGTTCATGATGTTCACAGATGATTTTGATGGAATGAAATATTTAGAACCTGACATAGGCTGGAGTTTATCTTGTTGTAGACAAGAAGACATGCCCTATCGCCAAGGATAGAACTGTATTTCCTCACAAGTGTGCAGCAGGACATATATCTGCCATATATGACCGTAGATAAGCCGAATTTTGAGGACCAGTTAAGCAGTCTGTAGAAAGGGGTTAGCTTATCAGTGGGTCAAACTCATTTTCCTGGTGGTATTGGCTATGAAAATGTCATTGTATTCTCATTGTGTGAAAGAACAAGAGGAAATGACTTCTGTAGGTTAAGAGTATCAAGTCTAATTTGCAATTAAACACCACTAGGCAAGATCATTTATTATTTAGAACATTTTATTACTAGATAAAGTAATAACAGGATTTACTTCAATATGGATGTGTTGACACTCTATTTCCTTAAGACTGATCATGATGAGAAGATGAACGAAGGTTGGTGGTTTGGCGTATATTTGGAACATACTACAGTCATCCCTTGCAATAATGCTCTTCGCGATACCGCGGATTCGTCAAACCGCGGGGTAATTCATGGCTCCCATAAAAAAAGTTGCCCAGTGATCACACATATTCACATCATCGAAAATAGCACATCAACAAATCCGCTCTTGAGCTCTGGTTAATCACGTTGTAAACTAGTGAAATTCAGTGCGGAATGCAAATAACAGTGTTTATCGTACATATCCATGGTTTTTCAGATGCTTAAAACATGCAGGGTTCTTTTCAATTATAATAGATGAACAGCGAAACATCGTAATAACTTTATCATAAAGACATGCCAATCATCAGCCGAGTACTTACAACGTTTGCTATGATGCAAAACACCGCGTAATTGCGCGGGTAAACACTGCCATCCGAGAATGTATTATGTCAGAAAACACAATTTATTTGATTAAATTCAATCCCATTTTCATTCATTAAAACTGTTTACAATAACAACGGAGAAACCGTGAGTGAAATGGCATTACCTCATTCCATACAATGCCCGCTTACCACATTCGTGAGGGTCTGTTTTTCGTGCCTACCGCGATAGCACCAATTTCACATTTTTCTCAGCAATCACGAACAGATTACAGCCTTGTCATCCACTGACCCCAAGACCCGTGTTATTATTGACTCATTGAAGTCATATTTGACAATAAAATTGCCAACATTTTGTTTTTACAATCAAAGTGGCACGTACCGCGGGAAGTCAGCAGTGACTGGTCAAACTGTCTCCTACGTAAAATGTATCCAGCCAGGTAACCAAAAGTGCTTAGCAATGTTAATTATTATTTAAATATGTTTGTAAAAAAACATGCATTATACTTATACGATAGCAATATATAAGATCTCGGTTAGAATAACTGCTTGACATATAACTTATTCTGATACTAGTAATGGAATAGAAATTCTTTGATGTTATATTTTCGGATCGTTTTTAACTGAATCACCGGCTCATTGGACCAAAACATCGATCTGTGCCCAACTGATTGCTATTTCCGGCTTAGTTGAATAACAGGTAGCATTTTACTTGGCCTTTGTTCCGCGTTATGTAATCGTTACTATAACGCGGGTGTCTAATAACATGGGGGGTCATCCATGGACCCCAAGACCCGCGTTATGGCGAGGGATGCCTGTATTTTAATACTGATTTTAAGGGTCAAGTAAGGACCTCGGCTTATCTGTAAGATTGACTTATCTACGTCATATATGGTAGTCAGGGCTCCAGATAATTTTTCATGATCAGGAGTACGTACTCCTTATTTTTTCAATATAGGAGTACTGGAAAACAATAAGAGTACATTTAGAGTACTGAATGGAATTTAATGCCATATCAGTAGTCTTGTGTTTCGTTCCATATATGCACCACAACATTGCTACTCTTGTGTACACAGGTCAGTAGTAAATGATTCTGAAACCGTACACCATTGCTGTGGTCCGTATCTGCTACGTTTTTACAATTGTTTCCTACCGTATCGTGCTTATTTTATATCCCTACATACGCTGATACGGTCCTTATCTGGAGCCCTGGTAGTCAATGCTAGTCACACCGTTTGGGATCTATGTGTGCCAGCTATACAGAAGACTTTTCAGTAAAAAACATGGATATCTGTTTAAAATTCTGGTCATAAACATGATAGACCATGTTCCTATATTCAGCTTATTTTCCGTGTTCATTTCCATTTTTCAGGTGTAGAGGCCACCTGAGGCTATTGTGTTACTTTTAAGGTAGACCACTGTATTGATTCTTGGGACTATCATTTGCAGATGCTAATGGACTGTTGCTATGTAGCACGGTGTGCCATTAGCTGGTGCTAATGGACTGTTAGCTATTAGCTATGTACACGGTTATAGTCACGGTACAGTAGCTGGTGCTAATGGACAGTTAGCTATGTAGCATTGCGCGGTTATAGTGTACAGTAGCTGGTGCTAATGGACTGTTAGCTATGTATGCGGTTATAGTGTACAGTAGCTGGTGCTAAATGGTACTGCACGGTTATAGTGCTGGTGTGGACTGTTAGCTATGTATCCACGGTTATAGTGTACAGTAGCTGGTGCTAATGGACTGTTAGCTATGTATCACGGTTATAGTGTACAGTAGCTGGTGCTAATGGACTGTTAGCTAGTGTAGCTGGTGCTAATGGACTGTTAGCTACGGTTATAGTGTACAGTAGC